AGATTATTCTTTTTCAACATTAAATCATACAGTAAATGAAATATTTCCAATCCTACAATTGAAAACACATTTGAAAGGCCTTTAGTGGATGTTTCTTTCTCTTCTCCTTTAATTAAATCTTTCTGCTTTATTTTTATTATTGGGCCTTATTGCAATATTTCAAAATTCTCAAAGTTCCTTCACAAAAAGCCATTTCTAATTTAACTGGAATACAAAACAATCTTTCCGGTCTGGAATTCCCTGGCTCACACACACACCCCTCAGTTCCTCACCCCCTCTCAGTGTTATGTACAGAAATATGCTTCTCTTTTATTGCTCATTTTCAAATTAACAGGCCAGCCTATTTGGGGGAGAGAAGCAGCTTCTCCTTCCTCATGCACAAGCCTGATAGAGGACAATTGCCCCTTCCGCTCCCCCCCTCTCTTTTGTTCCACTGCAGCATCTGGAAAAATGCGCGCCGAGGATAGGACCCCCCCTCCCATGGCCTTTTGGGGAAAACACACACACACACCTGTCTCCAAGGTGTGCTGGTGGGTGCCTTAAAGAAAACAGACCTCGGAGTTGCTCCCCAGATAGATCTTCCTTTCTTAAACAATTTAAGAGCATTGCCACCGTCTTGCAGACTTCCTTCTCTGCTTTTTCTTTTCTTTTTCCTGGCAATCTATTGTGAATGGACAAGCAGAGCTCCAAGAGGAATGGAGGCCCAACTTCAACCAATTGGTGCAGGCCGGAGACCATGCAGCCCGCTCCCCCGCCCCCAAAAGACCCTCCTGTTGGTCTTCCCTCCAGGGCGGGGAGCAAAGGAAGATGATTGAGGGAATCCCCTCCAGTTCTCCTCTGCTTCCCCATCACCCTGTCCGCACGTACCTCTTCAGGGTGCTGGCCTCCCAGGGGTTGAAGCAACTGAAAGGGACAGGCAGGCTGCCATAGTTCCACTGAGAAAATTTTTTTGAGAAGAGAAAGTGCTCTGGTTGGGCTGCACTCAAGTTGGTGGAGCACCCACGTGACTGGAGCAACCGCGGGGCTCACCTGCAGTGGCTGTGTCCCTGGCGACTGGTGGGCAGTTGCGGGTGCTCCACCAGCTCAGGTGCAGCTGGATTGGACCACTTTCTCCTCTCAGAAAAGTCTTCTCAGTGGAGCTGTGGCAGCCTGCCTGTTCCTTGCAGGTGCTTCAACCCCTGGGAGGAAGGGGGCCGGGGGGGGGGCATAAAGGGAACAGCAGCTCCTCTGTGAATGGAGGGGAAAACGTTCAGCTTCTCTCTGCCATTTAAGGGCTGCAGCAGGGAGAATCCCAACTTTTCCCCTATCCCTTCATTCAGAGCGGAGCTGCTGCAGCCTCTCCACATATTGCCCAGTTATGGAGCCATGCAAAAATGCCAAGGAGTGGCAGCCTTGGAGGGCCTGTTCATCCTTCCCCTTTTCCTCTCAGCCCTGCAAATCCAGAAATATCCCCCCTCCAAGCTGCAACTGAGACCGTGCAGGGGGGAGGGGGGGCAGGAGAAGATAATTGGACAAGAGAAGTTGAAAGCCAGGAAAGATGGAGGGATCCCAATTGTGCAGCAAGAGGAGTTTCTGCAAAAGGGAGGGGCAGGGGGCACCCTCAGCTTCCAAAGACCTTTTGCTCTCAGGCAGGGATGCTGGCCGGCACTCGCTTCACTTACTGCTCACCACCGATGCCCCTTTGGCCGGCCCCGCTGCAGCCCTGCTGGTTGGGTGGGCAATGGAAGTGGGTGGGCAGGTCAAGCATGGTGCAGACAGGATTGGATTGGATTGGATTTATTCGATTTGTAAGCTGCCCTATTCCCAGAAAGGAGGGAGGGAGAGGGAAAGGGAGGGTGGGAGAAAGAGAGAGAGAGAGAGAGGCGGTCAGGCGGTCAGGGGGAGTGAGGGGGGCAGCCAGGGGACTTAGCGTTCCGGTACGCGGCCTTCGGAGGACCCAGTACACAAATACACACTGGATTTCTGGATCTGGTTCTTGCAAACTGGACCGTACCCCCTAAAACCCACTTCTGGGTCTTCCACTCAGAAGGCCTGATAGCTGGTTCACCCTCCAGCCACCTATTTAAGAGGGGAACCAGCAACAGACTATCTCTTTATAACCAAACTGGATAGCCAGGTTGAATCCTGGCAATTCTGGCAAGATATATCTGTCTGATATATCACAGTATTATGTGTAAAAGCACAAGAATCATATATAAAATTAAAACTTCTGTTAGTTTTTTCTCCATGTATCTTCTTTAATTTGAACTAGTGAATGTTATAGCAATTTAATATTTCTAAGAGTTAGTACCATAACCAACACAATGAGATTATCTTACTGGATGTTACTATTATTATTATCTCAGAAAAGGTCCAAGAAGAAATAACAAATGTTATTGGATATGCTCAACCAAGAGCTGAACACCGAACAAAAATGCCATACACAGATGCTGTAGTCCATGAAGTTCAAAGATATGCTGATGTCATTCCCTTAAACTTGCCACATGCAACTACAGTGGATGTTAACTTTAAGGGCTATTTCATTGCAAAGGTGATGTATCTGTATTGATCTCTTTCTCATCCTAGCTAATTACATTCAGTCCATTTATTACAGTGCAACAATAAACAGTCTTCAAAAGCTTTCGTAAAATTTTTGCCACAGACTCTATTAATTTTACGAATATAGTAATCTGGCATATTTGATTTTATTCAAACTCTATGGAGTCACAACCTTGCAAACAGATAGAGTAGGAGGTATATTGCATGGGAGAGCTATATTAGTTGATGACAGCCAAAAAAAAATATCCAAGCTTATATCACCATAATGATCAAATGGGAGTGCAAGTTATTCTTAAGAATAATTAAGTGATGATGTTTCTTATAGATCCTAATGCATTCTCATAGAATATTGTATGTATTGACCCTTTTAGTTTTGTCATCCACAAGTAACATATGAGAATCTGCTTTGTAAGGACTCCTTTATCCATGAAGAATAAGCACAAGAATGAAGACTTTGAAGTCTTAATTTTTGAAGTTTCCTTGGATTAAGAGGCTTTCTATTGCATATTAGCACCCTAAGACTAAGAACTATAAAACTCAGTGCTGTTTACATCTGAAGGGTTTTTTTTTCATTTGCAGTGCAGCAGAAAAATATTTTATAACTCCATTTTATGGCTGCAAACAGAAACAAAGGGGCAATGTATTTAAAAAATTCAAAAATCTCTCTATACAGTCCAGTGTAGGTGATTGGGCAGATTAATGCATCTGTGAACCACATTGAAAATCTCAGGAAGAGGGGCGGGGCTTGATATTGCAACGGCACGACATGCAATCTTGGGACTCCAGGATTGCTGTTGATATCTCTCTTCCTGGACGATCCTTTTGGACCTAAACTGTTCTGAAGGAACAGTGATAGAGAAGAGCATGTNCCCCCGTGAAATGGATGAGTTAAGGAAGTTTATTGACAAAAATTTGCAGAGGGGATTCATTGAGCCTGCTAAACCCCAAGTTGCTGCTCCAGTTTTGTTCAGAGAAAAGAAAGATGGCTCCTTTCAACAGATGGCTGGAGAAGACAAAAGCAATCACGCAGTAGCTGACCAGATGATTGGAGCCTCCCAGACCAACTTGTGCAGCTGAATGTGAGTGAAACCAACCCTTGCATTAGCTCAGGGCAACCTTAATGGGCCCTGGATCACCTCACATTCTCCTACAATGCACTGGAGTGGAGATTTTTACTCCTTCCACACAGCAACAAATAAAATTACCCATCACCCTGCAGCTGAGCTGCAGACAGATGCCCCATCAACATGGGGAAATCAATCCAGCCAGCAGAAAGGAGCTTGGGCAACATCTCCCCCTAGCCAGCCACGAATGTTTGGGTTGCAGCCTGTGAATCAAGCACCAAAGGGATGGGCTTTCTTCCCAGGTCATGGATGGGAGAGATACCAATGGCTGCCTGCTTAGCCACTAACGTGGGAAGATCAATCCAGCCAGCAGAAAGGGACTTGACCCACATTTTCCCCTAGCCAGCCACTGATGTTTGGGCTGTAGCCTGTGAATCAAGCACCAAAGGGATGGGCTTTCTTCCCAGGTCATGGATGGGAGAGATGCCAATGGGTGCCTGTCTTCCCTCAGCAGATGGTACCATGTCAGATAACTGGGCAAGTGCCAACCCAGGGATTGACCCCCCCACACTGAGTCCAACCTTCCAGTCCCACCTGCAATGCCCCAACAGGCTCTTACCCCAGCTTCTGACAGAGAAATAATCTTGACAATGACAGAAGGGATGAATGAGGGGGAAGCTGCAGGATGGATAGTGGAGCATTGTGACAAGGCGACTTCTAAGTTTAGAGATGCAACTGGGTTCCTTCCCTCGGGGGGAGGGAGCAATAAAATGCAAGCATTGCTGTCAATCTGGCCAAAGAGCATCAGAGTGCCTGGATCCAGCCCCAATCTCAGAAACACATGCACCAACTGCCAGCACAGTAAAGAGAAGGCCCCAGAAACCATTAGAAAAGAGTCATCTGGGTCAAGAACCTCAGAAAGCTGATCCCCCAACCTAAGGTGATGAAATGTCCAACCAATGGGGAAACCTTGGAAGAAGAGAATAGTGTAGACAACCCGATGGTGAGATCCCTTCGCCATCCAAACCAAGCTCAAAGTACCCAAAACGGGAGTTGAAGAGGAAGTTGAAGCAGTCATGGACACCGGCTGCACCTGATGCTTAATCAGTATGTTGATTGTAAAGCAACTAGGCGTACGCACAAGATCTCTAGCCCATCCCATTCAGTTTCAGCAGGTAGATGGAATGCTAATTGGGGGGACCCCGGCCACACTAGTAACTGAACTGGTAAAGTTACAAATAGACTGCCACTATGAACTCCTCAGATTCATTGTGGCTCCAAAGATGCCAGAATTAATTATCTTGGCGCTTGCATGGCTGGACAAGTGGATGCCTACGATAAAGTGGGAAGACGATGTTAGGAAATTGATTATTGGATTTGGGTCACTACCACTGGTAGAGCCAAAGGGCTACCCAGGGATGATTGAATCCAAGAAACCAGAACCTGCAGCACCTGCAGCAGACACAAAAACCCCAGGGACCCAACAATTACCAAAAAATACTGAGACTTGGTGGAGGTTTTCAGTGAGGAAGATTCCAACTATCTTCCCTCTCACCGGCCCACAGATTGCGCAATAGAATTTAAACCTGGGGCTACCCTACCAAAACCGAAAATGTACTCCATGACTCCCAAGGAGATGGTTGAATTGAGGAAGTATATCAACACCAATTTGAAGGGGGCTTTATTGAACCAGCGAAGTTGAAAGTAGCGGCCCCAATGCTCTTCAGAGAAAAGAAAGATGGCGGTGTTAGTTTCTGTATTGATGTGTGAGCCTTGAACACAGTATGTGTGAAGAATACCAATCCCCTCCCCCTCATGAAAGATATGTTGAACCACTAGGCTAAAGGCAAGGTGTTCACCAAGCTGGACTTGAGAGAGACATATTATTGCATATGAATCAGAGAGGGAGGTGAGTGGAAGACTGCTTTTAACTGCCCCCTTGGCAGCTTTCAATTCAAAGTCATGCCATTTGGGCTACAAGGTGCACCCACAGTCTTCATGCAGTACATAAATGAGCTACATGAGCACCTGTACCATGGAGTGTTTATTTATCNTATCAATGCTAAAATGATTGAATGACTTAGAATAGGAGGAAGCATAATAACAATGTATATAAAGATATCTTGATAGTCAATATGTGAATTTTGATAAAATTCAAGTGATGACTACAGAAAGGACACAGAAAGATTTTGTAACCAATCAACAGGCTTTTATGTTATATGTGTTGTCTGTTTGTGTCTGTCTGAAAATAATTTTTTTTAATTAAAAACAAAATCCCAGGAATCAGGATTATGCAATAATTTGGTGGATTATGTAGTATCTTGATTTCTAAATCACCCATTGCTTTCTCTTTATAGGGCACAAATGTTATTCCATTGCTGACCTCTGTGCTCCATGATGAATCTCAGTGGGAGAAACCTTATGACTTCTACCCTGAACATTTTCTCAACATTGAAGGAAAATTTGTAAAAAGAAATGCATTCATGCCTTTCTCTGCAGGTAGTAGCTAGTTTTAAATTATATTAAAATAATATTAACCTTTTCTCCTTGATTAAATTCTTCCAAAGTGACTAGTAGGAGTAAAAGTTAATAGCAATAGTTTTTTAGCTGTTATTTTTCCAGATCACTCCTTACTTAGAAATTTTCTGTGAAGAATGTGACAATAATAGTAATAATAATAATAATTTATTAAATTTATATGATCACAGTTTAGAAAAATATTCTATATAGAATAGAATATACTATTCAGGCATTGGAGGGTCCAGCATGTACATGTGAACATCTCTACTTTTAATTTCATCGGTGTGGCATCCTAAGATTTTTTAAATAATCACTCTGGGAAACAGAAATATTTACACCTGCTGTTTCAGCACTGTAATGCGATTCATGATATACTTTAGTTTTGCAGACAAATTATAGGGGTATTTTCAGTGGCAGTATATCAGTCTTTCAGAATTTGCATTATTCTTCGATATCATTAGTCAGCATGATCTTGCTACATTCTAACCTGTCTTCTTGGGTTGGATTTGTTATTCTGAATTTTACAGTGAACTCTGAGACCAATATGATATGTGAAGGTGAAGTAAAATACTATTAGCAAAACTAATAAACCCAAATCATCTGTTCTCTACTCCTTGTTACAGGTCAGAGAGTATGTCCAGGTGAGATCCTTGCCAAAACGGAAATATTCATGTACTTTACTAGTCTTCTGCAGAGATTCACCCTCCAGCCAGCTCCTGGATTATCAAAAGAAGACCTGGACATGACCCGTGCCGTTGGGTTTACAACACCTCCCAAGACTTATATGTTATGTGCTATAACACGTTTCTAAAAACTAGGGATATTCAAAGACTCATGAGTCTGAATTGCTCAGTTGTACCTGTCTCTCTTGGAGCCTTTCCCCCCTCCCCCCTGCAACATCTAGTTTTGAATATGATCTTTTGCTGGTGTTTGTGTGTGTGTGTGTGTGTGTGTGTGTATGTGATGTATGTATGTATGTGTGTATACACACACACATATACACATATACTGTATATATGTGCATATATATATATATATGTGCATATGTATGTATGTATGTGTGTATACACAC